GTTTGTGCTCGACCTCTTCTAGAATATTGCACGTTTATTCTTAGCAGTACACGCATAAAGGATAAATTAAGGCTGGAATCAGTACAGAGCTGATTGTACCTTAACTTATAATTCTGGAAATAATAAACTTGGGCTAGACCCTTTATGGAGGAGGAGACTCAAACTAAATCTTATCTTTTTCTTCAAACTACTTCACAAACTATTGTTTACATCCAATCACGCGATTCAATATGCAGAAAATTCTCATTATGACATCCGCAATTCCTTGGCACTAGTGAAACAAACTCATTCTAAATCATCTCTTTATATGAATTACTTCACCTGTAAATTTTTTAGACTATGGAATAACCTACCACAATCTATCTGCACGATATAATCACTCCCATTATTTGTCCGCTGCATCGATGCATACTGCTCCTCTGAAAATGCATTGAATGGTCTAGCACCTGCAAGTGTGTCTCATTCTACAAGTGGAACTTTAAATGTTTAGCCATTTTTATTAGTGAATCCCCTAGGTAAAACCACCCACTTGCTGTCAATATGCTAACACCGTCCCTAGCAAGTTGAACTAATTTGAATAACATAAACAGTATATCACTGTGTCACATGACACACACATTTAGGTAGACCTGATTGAAATATTTTGGTAATTACTGCTTTGTTGTTCCGTGCTCTGTGTTTTCGTTTTAATTTCTCTAGTTGTAGATAATTATCATTAATTCGGTCTGGCATACGAATTGACCTTAAATACTCCGTTAATAAATCAACAGGCTGTCCATTTAGGAAATATTAAAAATTCCCGGCTGATGCATTGGATCACTGTAATACATGTACTACCTAAACAATTACTGAACTAGGATACTTAAAACTTTCTTCTATTACATGTTTGTTCTGCACATCTAACGTTCCTCTTTATATCAAATTGACCATGCATGTAAACTGGCGTGAATTCTGTAATTATTATTTTCAGAATATAAATTATTATTGTTAGTATATGTACATCCTGTGTGGATTGCCTCGATATTGCTTTAATTTGCAAGCTTTATAAGCAAAGATGGATAGTGACTATTAGTGAAATTCAGGATGCATTGAGTGGATAACGAGTTAGCAAATAGTACTGTGTTCGAGTCCCAGAGTGAATATCAACTCTTTGAGATGCAGGTACATCCAGCTGACGAATCCCAAATAGGACGAAATGCATGTCTAAACTGGATTTTATCGCTCGACATTATCCATCAAAATCATCCACCTGAACTACAAATCTTCTCCATCATCTCTAAATCAATTTATCAACAATTTGGGTACTAGCAATGAATCATTGATTAGTTAGTTTTAATGGTTCAGCATTCGGTTTGAAATATTTTTTTAAGATTCTTTTTTCGATTTCTCGCGAATTCATAAGTATGCACTGTTATAGTATTACATATTATGATTGAACAATTGTTTGATCCTATTTTGTTTACAATTTGACTGTTAAAATGTTCAGTCCATGATAAATACAATCTGTGAATGAAATCGTTCTCTGAAAAATGTCAATAACCAAATACGAAAAATCTAAAATTAATTCAATTTAAGAGTTAAATTCGTGAGTCAGCTGATTCTAGGTCATCATGGAAAACTTGGAAGCATTGAACGGCTGTGTCGTCCTAGTATGGGACTTCAGTGCTTCCGAGTTTTCCATCGGGATCTAGCTTCAAGTGACTTATGAATTCAACTATTAAATTACTGTAATATCCACAAAACTTCTCTCTGATTAAAATATATTTGTTGTATTCATAGAGGAAAGAAAAAGAAGAAGAAAATGTTTTCAGGAAAAATGGTTACCGTAGAACAAAATCTATTAAAACTAATTATTTACCTTTGATTTGTCTGACTGTTGATGTTGTCTTGGACTGACTTCAATTACTGAACAGCTGGTAACTAGCAAGTCGTAGAAAGTAAGTGGATTTTAATTTGAAATTCTACATACCTCCATAAATCACGACCTTATTCAAGATCGGTTGAATGACCTCACAACTCAACAGAAACACATTCTACATCAATCGTTACTTTCACAATGCATATAAATTTATTTTTCGTGCACTAATTTGAAGTATCAGTAATATTACGAAATCATAGAGAATGAATAAAACACTTTGTCCAATTAAAAGTTTATAACGTGCATCTCACCACATTTGAGATTACTTGGACAGATATATCTAGACTTCAGTGTTGAAGTTAACACTATGATTAAAAAGGAATGAAAATTCACTCAGTCTCACAAGTCAATGTCTATTTGAACTCAAAAACTTAGTAAATAATATATTGAGCACTCATTATGAAAGCTACTGGATTCGAGTATCAGCATCAACAACATCATGATTGAAAGCATTTTTGGCTAAAATGTCTCGAATAGAACAAAATCCGCGTCCTGAATTCCACTGCTAGTTACTATCATTAGGATCTTAGAAAGCTAAATATTTTTAAAAATGTTTCCACACATGATTACATGAACTATTTCTCGTTTGTCATGGAAATCGATTACAAATAAACGTAAATCATTTTGCACTGGTTTTTGTACTGTAAAAGTGTGTTTCATTGTAAAACTAAGTAAAATATATTTCTGGATTACTTAAACGTGTACTATCGAACAAAAAGTTTTATAACGGGTAAATATATATGAATGATATTGCTTGATAACCGGACTGTTTTGAATAATCTACCTATCTATCAACTCAATGTAGCTAATAAGCCAAACAGTATTGTACTTCACAAAAAGTACCCAATAGATGGATTCTGTCATATGTGGGTTTGCTGACGCATATATCTAAAACGTTTCAGACTATGAATATCCACTAATGTCTTGTTTTAAAATATTCACTGGAAATAAGTCTGACCACTAAAAGAAAAAAAACTAGATTCCATATGTTATTTTGTCAGAAATTTATGTTCTGCTTAACCGACATGGAATATGACAAACTGTGGGGCCGGCTCCTAATGAACTCACAGAAGCTCTAAGAATCTCTGAAAGAGCTGCAGACATTTCGTCTAATCATTGGAAGAATATTACAAAATCTCGACGTGTAGCTTCCCTATTAAGAAAATGCTGAATGATTTCATTTTTACTAAAAACTATAAAGACCCGAGTGTTTCGTATCACATTTGACTTTTTTGATTTCTTTTCATTCATCCTCTGTCTTATAACTTACGAATTGTACGGTTCAACTGTTCCAGTGCCCAAGTTGTATACGGTATGACAAAAATTCATGTTCTAGATATAAGAAAAACAGTTGAAGTAAGAAGACAACATCGAATAACATATACATTGAAAACATTCATAATGATGAAAATTCACAAATGTAAAATGATACCAGTACATATAATCAGATGAAATAACATGGTGGAATATGTTATTTCTTCACTGAAACTGAACCAAGAAATTATTGTTATTCCATATGAAAAGTAAAAAGGAATGACTGAACTCCTAAAAAAATAATACGTAAAGGCAAAGCGTTTGTTGTTTCAACAAAAACAAAACAGAATTAATTACTTTACAGTTTAGTTGCTAAACGATTTCAAACTATCTAACATCTAAGTTTATTACTGAATACTCGGCTAATCATTCTTCACTTTTACTTAAAGTTGTACTGATGATGTCGTTCAAAATAACGATGAAAACCTCATGTCCAAAACCATCCAGCGTTTGTCTGTTTCGAAAAGTTTTTGTTTTTTGAAATTAAATAATTAGTTTCAATTTACTTTAAACACTTTGTTTTCGTGTCAATATATTGATTAAACATGATGACCAGAGATTAAACATAACAGTCAGGTCTTAATTGATTGAAGGAGATTAGCTTGTAGATTACATTATCTTGTTAAATATATTGAGCAATAATTTTAAAACTTCAAATTATTATTTTATATAATTATCCTAATGAAGATTAAATTACGGGTAACTTCTGTGAACTATCAATGGACTAATATCATATACATATAAGTACCTATTGCTTAGCTCTTCACTAACTAGATTAAGTATATCTATATTCTTCTTATTATAAGCTTTATTTTAATCTATAGATTATTATTATACGATTTACTGTTCTTAAATTATGTTCAGTTTACTGATTACAGTATCCCAATTTCACAACCACTTTTTCGTTTGATCTTGTATAAATGTTTTCTTCCTTATTTTATAGTGTTATCTGATCTGTTTGGTCAGTATATAAACTAAGTGTGTTTGAAATAAATCATTCACATATTGGAATCTGTTATCGGTAACCTGGACTGAAATAGACGAGCTAGGCAAACAAATGATCGATAAAAACGTTAGACTGTTGATACCGGTCGAACGTCATTGGTTTGGAATAGTACTAAGATTGAAGACGACGTATTTCGATTGACAAATAAATCACGTGATAACTAGCCGGGTTTAAAGTCATAACAATTAAGTTTAATGGATCGTTTCATTCAAACATGATCATTTATTCTAGTCACTTACAGTCACTTACTTATTTTCATATCAAATGGCACTTTCAATTAATTACAATGTAATACCTCTTTTGTATATTTGATAAGAATTCTGTTATTGTCAGTTAGATATATCTCACTTTTATAAAACATTATTTCTATATAAGTAAATTGTTATTATTGAAAGACCTTATTTAAGATAATGAAAAAAATCAAAGCAAAAACTGAATTGCTTCTTTTAGAAGAAAAAAAATGACCAGTTTTGACCCAATTTACATTTATTAATCATTTTCAATTAATTTCTGTAATTAATTAAATCTTTATTCTCTGTCTTAATGTGTGTGTGTGTGGATGGATGTGGGTACTTTTGAGGTCATCTGATGTATTATATTATAAGGTCAAATCCTATTCCCATCTCAAATCAAAATCATACAAAACAATACAAATAAATCAATGATAAATATTGATGTTTAAAACTAAGATACAAAACAAGGTCGATTAATGTGGCCAGAAGATATAATGAAAAGAAGAAGCTAATTAGAATAAACTATTGTATGATATTCGTATATTCCGTACTTAATTTCAATCATAAAATTATTAGTTTTTCATCATCATCATCATCATCATCATCATCATCATCATCATCATCATCATCATCATCATCATCATCATCATCATCATCATCATCATCATCATCATCATCATCATCATCATCATCATCATCATCATCATCATCATCATCATCATCATCATCATCATCATCATCATCATCATCATCATCATCATCATCATCATCATCATCATCATCATCATCATCATCATCATCATCATCATCATCATCATCATCATCATCATCATCATCATCATCATCATCATCATCATCATCATCATCATCATCATCATCATCATCATCATCATCATTATCATCATCATCATCATCATCATCATCATCATCATCATCATCATCATCATCATCATCATCATCATCATCATCATCATCATCATCATCATCATCATCATCATCATCATCATCATCATCATCATCATCATCATCATCATCATCATCATCATCATCATCATCATCATCATCATCATCATCATCATCATCATCATCATCATCATCATCATCATCATCATCATCATCATCATCATCATCATCATCATCATCATCATCATCATCATCATCATCATCATCATCATCATCATCATCATCATCATCATCATCATCATCACTAGCGACTTTTAATTTAATGTTAATCTGATTTGTAAGGGTTTGAATAAATCGATTGTTGCTATTTTTATTAAATTTTTTTCGATTTTAGTTGCCTTAAATTAGTCATTTTATAACACGTTTATGTTGAATAGATACAATGTGATGAGGGAATTCATAGGCTTATTTCAGACTATTCAGCTGGTCATAACTAATCGATATAAGTAATATCAAACATATGAAGTTTACCTGTGTCTATGAGTGTCATTCGGAATATTCGATGACGAACCGATATGTGGTAAATTTTCATACTTAATTGTTTGATACACTCGCGAAAATCAAGCGTATTACTTAAACTAATTTTTTTTTAAATATCTTGCAAAAAATATAGTGACTATATTGATTGGAAAATAAAATGCAACCGCGGTCAATATATTAGCCAAGGAATATTCCAACTCCAGACTCTTTTGACAACATTTAGTTTAATTTTAAAGTAACTGTAGATCTATATGAACTTATGATGGTCAATCGTTACCTGTTAAAAGCTACTGATAGAATATATATATATATATATATATATATATATATATATATATATATATATATATATATAGTAGTGAATGAGAACACAAGCGAGAACGATCGAATATATATGAACACAAAATTACTGAGAATTATACAGTTAATACTTCATTTGCAAACATGTCATTCCATCGTCTTAGACTTCACTGTTTCTTTATTTCCATTTCATGCCAATTCATTCATATAAGTGACTGAATTAGTTCAGTCCATTATAGTGATTGTCGACAACTGAGAAAACATACAAATTGAATAGGTTGATAGGTATTTGAATTAAACAGTTTGCTGGATCATAAATAGATTCAAATATCAGTACTGACATTAACACTGGAATGGAAATACATTTAATTGACGACTCGCGAGTAAGGTAATACAATAATCTTGCTAACTAAAATCTAAATAAATCATTTCATTTGGACAACTCACAAAGCAGACACAATGTTTTGGATTGAAGGTCTTACGCCAATTTTCTTTGAATTCAGTCAACTTTCTTTAAATAAATCACAAACATTTCAACAAATCTCTGTGACCTACTCATATTTGTCTATAATTCCATAAATTCATTGACATGAACTTGTTGTCATCACATAATTTCCTACTTTAACCACATTGTTTCCTTAACTAAATTTGGAAACTGTTTATAGAGATTATAGTTATGTTAAATATTACAGAACTCAAGTGGATACGTTACATTAGTTGGTAAATATTTCTTATTTGATAAATAAGATACAATCACATTAGAGTAATTAATTGTTCAATTTACAATTACTTTGTATTGGTCTATCTAGAATTTATGAATTAATGGATTAACAAAAGATGTGAAGAATGAACTACCAAGAAACCTATGCATTTCATGATGGACAGCAGATAATTCATGCATAGAATACACTATATTAAATGAGATTCTACTGAATCTTTACAATCAAAATTTACGTTAATTAGGGAATTATTATAAAATTCTATATGGAAAACACAATACACCAACTTATTTGAATAATATCGCAGAGATCATGAACCGATTGATATTAAACCATCATTGAAAACCTGGAAGCATAAGATGGCCGTTTCGTCCTGTTGTTGAACTTCTCAGCAGTGCGCATGCATGATCCCTCTGAGGATTTCCACAATAGGACGAAAAGGCCATCTTATGCTTCCAGGTTTTCAATGATGGTCTAACATTAGTCGGTTCATGATCTCAATCTAAAACGTAATAATCTCCACAACCCTTATATTAATAATATCGAAGAGAGTACAAACGAAAATTTATTCTAATTTGAATTACTCCAGTAAGTTAATATAACTAGTTCGTTTGTTGATGGTAGTCTACAGAAATCTCTGTTCGATGTAGATTCCATTTTAGTTGAAACTCATGAATAAGAGATATTACAATTATGAGAATACATTTTATTCGTTGTAAGCTTGAAACTAATATTACTTAGCATTATATTTCCAATGTTCTATTAACCTTAACATATACAAAAGCAGTTTGATACAATTCTATGTAGATTTACTGAATATGAAAGAAAACTGACGAAATATGAGATAAATTTCCAAAACAAATTCCATTCTGGTGAACCTTAACAAAGCGAAACAAACAAATGTACATGAATACAAATCTTACTAAAATCTGAGACCCATACAGTAAATACTTCATCTGCAAAATATCAATCAGTCGTCTCAGATTTCACTGTTCTTTCATTTCCACACCAATCATTCCTTGTTCTGATTCTCTTTTCCTAAATCTTCTTAACCTTCTGTATTCAGGCATTTCATTTTTGACTGATGATACATACTACTTAAATCTGTTGATATCAGTAACACATACCGCAATACATATAACTAAACAAATAAATTTCAATAACAATTTAGGTTATAATTTGGTGGGAAAAAGATGGTTTAAAAAAAAATAGAAAAATAACTTAATTGTCATATGCTTCACTTTAAAAAAACAACCTCAGAAAAAGAAAATTTTAGTTACTACCATGTTTCTTCATTGTTTCTTCATATGGGCGGGATGAAAATGGAAAAAAAAATTGCATAGATTTATTCCATAAGATTTTTTATTTATTCAACACACTAATTTCATTTTTAATTCAATATGTTGTTTATTCATTTAGTGTATTGTTTGTTTAACTTTCCACTGGGGTATATTAATCGTTGTATTCAATTAACATGAATTATCCTCAGCATGATAGACAACATGCTGATTAGTTGGAAACTCTGTGAAGTTTTTTATATTTGTGATTTCATTCTAATCAATAATCAAAATGGTTGTATAATCAACGTATAAGAGAATGTAGTTTCAACTAGAGTCTTCGTCGTCGTGTTTTCCAGGTTAATAAGTTGTACTGTAGTGAACGAGAACACAAGTAGGGCCAACCAACGTACTGCAATACAACATTACAGAATCTCTTAGTGAAATCTAAGAATCATATATGTAAATAATTCATTTGCAAAATATCTATCAGTTGTTTCAGACTTTATTATCCCCTTGTTTCCATATCAATCACACTCTGTTCTCGTTCTCTTCTCTTTGATCTTCTCAACTTTCTACTGCTCGATATTCTACTTTCGATTGATGATAAATACTACTTATATTTATTAACATCAGTAACACATACTACAGTAACAGTTTTGGTTTTTTTACTTCACATTATGGAACTTGCTATGATTCCTCATTTTTACAAGTAATAAGCGATCCAGATATAACAATCCGCGACGACCAGTTACATAACATTAAATTACTTCTATAAACAATATATATTAGATGAAAAAAGACTTTTGTAATGGCGTTTTTGTTCTCTGAGCTTTCATCGTTCTTCTGAACGACATCATCATCAGCACAAACTTCAAAGAACAAAACTCCATCAAAATCATCCACCTAAGCTATCAATCTTCTCCACCATCTCAAAGACTTTTGTTTAATTTCTTTTTCCTTTTATTAATAATCATAATGATGTGAAATACAAGTCAACTTGTATAGGTAGAAAATAGTCTTCTCTTCTTTTCTTTCTCCTCTTTTCTTTTATTAAATAAAATAAATAATTCAATAAATTATTTCACTTTAAAATAATCGTAATCTTTACAAAATGATTGAATTAATTCCTCTGTCATCTTTCATTATTATCATTATTATTATTATCATCATCTTATTTACTTTGCTCTCCTCTTTAGCTCACTTCACATTAGTTAATCTAATCTGCCAAATCGTCATTATTATCACCATTACTATCACCATTACTAATATTATTACTATTATTATTATAACTATCATTACTAACATTACTATTACCATTATTATTATTACTATTATTATTACTATTATTATTACTATTATTACTATTACCATTATCATTATTACTATTATTATTACTATTATTATTACTATTATTACTATTACCATTATCATTATTACTATTATTATTACTATTATTATTACTATTATTACTATTACCATTATTATTATTATTATTGTTATTATTAATACGAAGTGATTACAATAAACTAACGAATTAATCAATCAATCAATCGAAATTGATCAAAAGATACTTTGATTTTTATTTGTAGATTACTACAACATAATAATTAAGTATATTGAATGTTTAATTTCATCATAGATTAATAATAATCTGATTGATAGTTGAAAATAAAGGAATGATAATGAGAAATAAGTTTTAATGGAATCATCACTAATCTATTATATGAATTCACTAATAATACTTTATTCACTGGTGACTTTGGCTTTTTTTTAATTTCAAGTAAAACAATGTAACTGGTAAATTCGAATCATTCTCAGTAGTAAAATTAAATGAGAAACAAAAAATGTAAATGATTACATGAACTTGTTCAACGCTTTATTCATTGTTGTTAGGGGTGCAGAACTGTCTTACACGCGATATGGTTAGACTTCACTGGTCAAACCGTATGATTAGAACTTGAGAGGTTACATATTGAGGCAAGTCAATAGTAAGAACACTATTGTCATCAGTATGGAGATTTGTGCAGATTGTAGCATTCTCATAGGATGGGACTCCGCATTCAGGACCTGAACCCATGACATTTGATTTCAATCACAAACGCTTAACCTCTAGACCACTGTCTAACTTCAGTTGATCCGAGATCTTGCATATCCCTTGGATGATGGCTCAGTTTTCTAGAGGTTGAGCGTTTGCTCTCGAAATGGGTTCAAGTTCAGCGTGCTAAGTCCTAAATTGGTAAGAAACAGCCGTCCAGTAGTTCCAGCTTTTCAATGATGGTTTAATTTAGATTGAATCACTATTTCAACTATGAAAACACCACAATCTCCACAAATCCTTCATACTGATAAAAATGAATGATGTTTGACTAGTTGTATTAGTGAGCTCTGTGCTCTCCAGCAGATTTGAAAATACTAGGTTTGATTGTGTGTCAAGTTGAGGTTACAGAAATCCGTGGTATGTAAGCAAAATCAAAAATTGTGTACAGTACTTTCTT